CATTTCTTGAATTCTTGATCGCACTTATAGATCAAAACATCTTATTTTTCTGTCGATTAGATCGGTGCCTTTAAATGGGTGTTGGACAGTGTGTCCGTGACGCGTAACCATCGTAAACGACATATACAGTATCGATTAGAAATCGGCATTCAAGATGCGTGAAGAGCCATCCGAGCGCACTCCTTAAGATCGAGACGCAATCGAGACTCGTGCCATTAGCTATTCATATAATTTACTACTATTCGCGATGCGCACAACGAACTTTGGCACTGGGTGGTCCTTATATGTAAGAGAGCGTGCACGGCGAACAAGCCTACGATCTGCGTGGCGTGAAATGCCAATGAGAGCGAATGTTGACTGCTACTTCATATCCGTTGAGTATTTCAATCGCGTATCTGACGGAAGCTGAAAAATAACGTGAAATTATATGAGATTTAGCGAGAGCCATTTGTAACGGTAAAGATAAGAAATATTACAATAGCTTCAATAATGAACAAATTTGGAATATGAAAAATTAAATACAATAGCAAATTATAAATTGAGTATTATCGGAGTGAAAACGCATAATTTTCGTTTACTCTTCAACATAAGCATGCACAACACACACACACTTAGATTATGAAGATATTTTCTTGAATGTATAATCCAAAAAATTCAAAAATAAATGATCAAAACATTTTATTTTTATTACTAGAGAAAAAGAGAGAGAATTAAGATCTATTCCAAATATTATGAACGCAGCGGCTTTTTTTTTATGTCTTTATTCGTCTCTTTTGAATAGTACATAGTTGCCGGAATTAATGAAACATATAAAATTAACAACACGGGTGCCGAACGGATAAGGAAATGATGTCGCATCCACAAAGCATTCGCGGAGACTGTAGATAAAGGAGACAAAGGTCAAGCTTAGCTTGTAAAGAAAATTTTACGTTGCCTGGTCAGGATGACCTTGGCCGTGCCATTATGCGACTCGCTAATTGCCATACCACGAGTGATTATCGTTCACGGAATTAAAATTCGCATAGCGCGAGGATGACGGGTGCGCGCGTTCGAGTTTAAGACGCTGTTTGCACGCAAAAGATGTACACGTACAATTTGCTACATCGATATCTACTGTTTATCTCGCATAAACCCGAGCCAATAACCTGCACCTTCTCACATTCAGACATTCATATACGTCTTGTACATTTGCTTTCAAATTTTCTTCACAATGAGAATAGTAGCCAATTGATGTAATTTGAATTAATTTAAATTAACAACTTTGTTATTGTTGCAAGCGAAAAATTTTAGTATTGTTGAAATAGCGGAAAACGCCGCTAATCAATTTTAGAATTATAATAAGAGACACGTAAAACAATTAATTCTTTATTAAAACATTTCATTTTATTTATTCAAATTTGATCATATTTTGTACTTTTAGAAAATCGAAATATTTACAACTTTACACAAAGATTCTACCGAAAAACATTGAACAAATTAAAAATATTTTATAAACTCGCAATTTTTTTTTATATTATATTGCCTATTAGCTAAATTGTGCTAAAAAATAAAAATGCTCTCTTTTTATCTGATCAATGATACATATATTCCGAGTGTGTGATTATATTTTCCGTTTTCACAAAAAAGATTGCCATTGCTTTTCCAATTTGTTATCAATCAATTATTTGTTATTAATCAATTATTTGTTATTAATCAATTATTTGTTATTAATCAATTATTTGTTATTAATCAATTATTTGTTATTAATCAATTATTTGTTATTAATCAATTATTTGTTATTAATCAATTATTTGTTATTAATCAATTATTTGTTATTAATCAATTATTTGTTATTAATCAATTATTTGTTATTAATCAATTATTTGTTATTAATCAATTATTTGTTATTAATCAATTATTTGTTATTAATCAATTATTTGTTATTAATCAATTATTTGTTATTAATCAATTATTTGTTATTAATCAATTATTTGTTATTAATCAATTATTTGTTATTAATCAATTATTTGTTATTAATCAATTATTTGTTATTAATCAATTATTTGTTATTAATCAATTATTTGTTATTAATCAATTATTTGTTATTAATCAATTATTTGTTATTAATCAATTATTTGTTATTAATCAATTATTTGTTATTAATCAATTATTTGTTATTAATCAATTATTTGTTATTAATCAATTATTTGTTATTAATCAATTATTTGTTATTAATCAATTATTAATCAAAATTTAAAATATTAAAGAATATTTTCATACGGTTGATAGGATAAACTTTTTAAAATATTCCTGGATATTTAGGTGAACAGTTCAGGTTTTTACTTCCTATGAGATGCGATGCCGACCGTCGGAAGAAAAAATTAGAGGAAATAAAATGATACATGCTTCGCGTGATTCATAATATCATTTATTATGATTCCAAGAAAACATTTAAATCTTCTACTGCAGAAACGCCACCGGCTCTATTATTCCACTGATTCATCAGTCATTCGTTTTTGCGAGGGTTACAAAATTAATGCTTGATTCTTTTGGGATCCCCCCAAGGCTGGCAAAAAACAACTTTAAAGAATCGGAGGTATCCCTTTCATCAATAGACCGCTCATTGTGATGGAATTTTTATTCGCATCCTACCTGCGAGCGCACACACACTTAAAGGGTATCCTGGTCAGGAGAAACTTGTTGTCCTTCGATATTTATGCCGCGTTCAATGATCTTTCCATTTGCGCAATAAGACAATCCATACAACATTATCTTAATCATTTTATAAAAAAATTAAAAGAAGAAATAATAGATCACATTTGTCATGTTTTTTTTTTTTTATCATTTGTTTTGCGTTTTCATCAAAATGTCTTTTGTAACATCCTGATCAAATTTATAAAATACGGGCTGCTTCCATTTTTTTAATAATCCCCTAGCAAAAATCATTTGGCATTTTTTATATGGTCCGATAATTTGCTCACGCCGCCGATCAATGGCAATTGCATTCGACAGATGAATTTCATCAAAACTTACAACGGTCAACTTATCGACATCATCAGACATATCACGTTCTTTATATTTTATTACTTTAAATACATCAATTAAAATTCCTTCATCGACGCAAAATGTTGATGCCCATTTCCTCAAAGTTGACAATCCCGGTAGCGGTATTTTTAAAACATTTTGTAAATATCTATAAGCTTTCGCTGCGCAAAGATATAGCAGCTGCTATATCATCTGCGGACCACCTCATTTTTTGTATTGTAGAATTCAAAAGCATTTTTATTTGTCCCAGCGTAAATATCCCATTTAAAATGTTTTTCACTTTTTGTTCCAATGTATTTTTAAATTGTCTACTTTGTAATTTTAACTGACGCCGGAGACGACAATTTTCTTTTGCAATAGCTTTATATCTTCTTTTGTATTTAGAGTCTTTTTCAATAAAAACTGCATTATTTGATAGTACTTTCTCATTATTTATATTAAACCGGGCATTACCGGACATAGTATGTTATTTTTTCCTTATTTATGTGTGGAGAACCCACTCCCAAAGTTTGTACAAGTATTTTTGAATCACCTTGTACATATACATATATATATTTTTCATACTTATTGACTTCATTCTCGATGTATTTTATATCCCTAAAAACTTATCTTTTTTAAAAAAAAAAGATAAGAAAGGCTAAGTATCAGTTGCGAAAAAAGTGTTATATGTATTACTGTAAAAAACTATTTTACAAAAGAGTATTATTTTAATCTGTACAAAGAATAAAAGCTTGTGCTAATTTATTTTTGTAAATAGAAATATTTTATTCGCGAAAAGATTGTTACACAAAATAGTTGTGAATATTAATGGTTCTGTGTGTCTGAAATCTATTCTACTACTGCTTGACTGTATTACTGAATCTGTTTTTGAACTTGTTGACGGTTCTGCTAAATCTATATTTACACTTATTGATGCTACTTCCATATCTGTTTGTATTGTAGTTGACTGTATTTCACAATCTGTTGCCACGCTTGTTGACGCTGCATTTCCATCAATACTAGTTGATAATATTTTCTGTTGACCCGAACAACACGTCGGCATCTTTAATATTAATAATGTTAAAGATGTGCGCTTATATCGTTGAAAAATGGCGGAAATTAAGGCCTGCGCATTGCTATGCGTAAACTCGTCCTAGTTACGAGCACATCATGTCTACTTGCATCATGGTCCAGTCTATATGTCTATGATCGCGACGAGTCAGTCGCGTCGTAGCTGCCGACTCGTGCGGCTCTTTTCTAGTACTGTAAGATTGTCATTAAAGTATATACATATATTATTCAAGAGTATTCAGTGATTGACAGCCCCAGTAGATACACCACAGGGAATATATTTGTAAATCTTAACTATTTTGGCTTATAATTTGAAAACTAAGCCTCGGAAAAAATTTTGGCAAAGGAAAAATCGTCTTAGAATTGAGTCAAGTATATGACATTGTAAGGACAGAAGGTTGTTTTGAATCACCCTGTATATTTACTCGTGTGATGTGTAGAAGGAACTATTGATATATTCAAAAATTCCGTTGGAATCGCATCCAATCTTAATTTTTTTCGAGTTTTTGGAGAAAAGCCTAATAACGGTGTTTGCCAAGAACTCTGATAACATGATGCTTGAAAATGTATGGAACATATGCGAGCTGCAAAAGTATATATTATATGTTTAAATAGTAAAAATGTCATTAAAAAAACTTATAAATTTACTCTTAGTTCTATTTTTAAATTATAAAATTTATAACATACCATGTTTCATGTTGATATTATTCACACGGGACGTTTCTAACCATATTTTTCTGTATTTCTCATTTTTGGGAAATGAAAAAAATCTTATTGATTTATATTTTATTCGCTGGTCACTGCGACTTTTGCAACCTTTCACACAACACGTCGGCATCTTTAATATTAATAATGTTAAAGATGTGCGCTTATATCGTTGAAAAATGGCGGAAATTAAGGCCTGCGCATTGCTATGCGTAAACTCGTCCTAGTTACGAGCACATCATGTCTACTTGCATCATGGTCCAGTCTATATGTCTATGATCGCGACGAGTCAGTCGCGTCGTAGCTGCCGACTCGTGCGGCTCTTTTCTAGTACTGTAAGATTGTCATTAAAGTATATACATATATTATTCAAGAGTATTCAGTGATTGACAGCCCCAGTAGATACACCACAGGGAATATATTTGTAAATCTTTTTATTAATTTTCTATGCTATTTATATTTCTTAAGTTTTTTTTGATAACATTTTTTATTAATATTATTAAAAACTGTTTATACATTCATTTGACTCGGACATAATAATATTATTGAATTATGTGTACATTATTGTTAATAACATAATGGAAATATATTGCATTGAGCATGCATATCGACTGCTAACAATAAATATATGATATTATTTTGTAATGTAGACATAGAGGATGTTTTTGTTGCACACTTAAATTCTTTTAAATTGTTATTTCATTATTTTCAAATAACAAAAATCGTTTAAATATAATTTCTTTTTTTGTTTTGTTTTATATATATAGTATATACACAACATTTTAAAAATTTGCGTACTTTTATAAGTGAGTCTTGATAATAATATTTTGTTATTTTAAAATACTTAAAATAATCTTGATTACAGTGATAACTCGCTTGTATGTAATTCGTATGTAATTCTATTTTAATATTCTAATGTGTATTTTAATTAAAAATAAAAAATTTTTCTATATGGTGTAATTACACACACATGTTCCTGTTATACAGGGTGATTCAGAAATACTTGTACATATTTTGGGGGTGAGTTCCACACAAAAACAAGAAGAGAATGTCATATAAACATATATCCGGAAATGCCTTGTTTATCAGTTATATAATCGAAAGATTACATTCAATTAATTTACTATGGCCTGACCTAAATCCATTACATTTTTATCTGTGGAAACACTTAAAAGCCCTAATTTATGTAATTGAAATTGCAAATAAAGAGACGCTTCTCCAACGCATCATAGATGCCTGCGAAATCATTCGCAATCATTATGGGATCTTTGAAAAGGTGCGACATTCCATGATCCAATGTGTCTATGCGTGCATTGGAAGATACATGCGAAGCAAGTGGAAGATATTTTGAGCATTTAATATGAATTGTGAGTAGATAAACAATTGAACTGAAAATGTATTACATTGGTCATGTGTCATTATAAATATATTCTACCAGTTTTTGTCGTTGAAATCTTTCAATTATAATTCATAAACCGGGCATTACCGGACATAGTATGTTATTTTTTCCTTATTTATATATGGAAAACCCACTCCGAAAGTTTGTACAAGTATTTTTGAGTCGCCTTATACATATACATAATATTGCTGTTTAGTGAAATTGTTGTAGGCTAATAAACATAATGCAGAATAATAAACATATCTTTTTTTCCATAGTCCGCGATATTGCTGCGATTATTAGTTACTTGATCACGAGGCTATTGTAAGATGAAATCAAGTTTAGTAAATTCTATGGGTCAATAAGTTGACGATTCCTCTATGAAAATGCCTCTATGTCTCTCGTTTTGGTGCTACATGCTTTTATTCATCACTCTATCATCAGAGTCTCAATTAAAGTTGATAAGCAAGATTGATGAGCAGGATGACAATTCGACGGTGCAATATCAACTTGGCGCAAACACCGTGACAAACTATGACAACGAGAAAGATTTAATACGGTATAATTCGAACGAAAATTCAATCAAAGATAACGGTGATATGCAGTACGCATATCGCATCAATTCGACGAGAAACTACCACGAGAATGACGACGAATACTATCAACCCATCTTCTTTAGTGGTCGCATGGGATTTCCGATGATAAATCACATAAGATATCCGATGATAAATCACTTGATACATCCTGAACTTCAAGTGGACGTTGAAAAAAATTATAAGAATGCCATGTCACAGAAAATGCTTGAAAACTTTGAAAGGACCAAGGGCAAAAACGGTTCTGCGTCACACGATTTCTTTAAACATTTCAATAGAGATAACGATAAAAACAATATTGTATCGTATAAAATGTGTGAAAACATTACTTGCATTCGGTTCTGCTGTCCTTTCGGTGATCGCCTGGTTGACGGAAAATGCCTTGCCAAACAGGATGACTTTATTCATCTGCAAAACATGTATGGATACATTGATGAATCGTTGCAAAATGGAAATGAAAGAATAAACGAACTATTTCTTCTGGTTGTTCACGATCCGTGTCAGAAGACTAAACACGATTTGATTATGCCATTTTATAAGAAAGAGTTTCTCATCGATGGCTCTTTGTATCTAGCGTCTGATCAGATAATCGTTGAATCAACATCCTATTGTTTCGCTGTAGTGGAACAAAATATATTTGCTGTTAAAGTTTGCCCTAGGATTATAGAAAGGATCATGGATAACAATTACAAAAACCGCAATAAAAGTGCGATTATTCCGATTAGTACAAATAAAGAGTTGAAGAAAATTAGAGACAAGAACGATTCTATGTCGTACAATTCTTTTAAAAATTTTAATAAAGATAACAATAAAAACACTATTATACCGTACAAAATGTGCGAAAACATTACTTGCATTTTTTTATGCTGTCCTTTCGATAAACTCTTGGTCGACAAAAAATGCATTGACGGACAGGATAATTTTATTTTCCTGCAAAACATGTATAAATATATCAATGATTCGTTGCAAAAAGGAAATGAAGGAGAAAACGAACTATTTCTTCTGGTTGTTCACGATCCGTGTCAGAAGTCTGGACATTATACACTTAATTCTTTAAAGAGAGTGCTTCTCGTCAACGGCTCTTTGTACCTACCTGATAACAACACAATCGTCGAATCAACATCTTATTGCTTCGCTAACGTAGATGATCAATTTGATATGGACGGATTTGGTGTTTACGGATTAACTGTGAAAGTTTGCTTTGAAAATATAAGGATTGTGAACAAGACATTTGAAAAAATAAATTTCTTGGAGACTGAACTAATTATATATATATGCAGTCTAATAGGGGTTATATTGTGTTTGTTGATGACGTTCGTAGTATACTCCACAATACCAGAACTCCGTAATATACACGGCTATATACTGTGTAGCTACAGCGGCTCATTAATCGTCGCGTACACGGTCGAATTAAAGTACACGCTAGTCACAAGAGATGCTATAGGAGACTCTATCTGTATCGCATATGGTATATCATATAATACTCAAATTACATAACATCATAATTAATATACAGCGTCTAAATCTGTTAGGATTATTAGTGTATACTGACGAATTAATATTTTTTGATAACTTTAATATGTAGTTTCTAATTTATAACTTTAAAAACACAAGAGTTTACAGTTAATAAAATAGTTAATAAAATTAAAATTTATGATGCTCATTAACATCAAGTTAAAATATTCTATGTATTTCTTATATTATTAAAATTTTGCGGAATTATGTCTTCAATTAAAAACAAATTAACTAATAAAGGCTCTTATGAATATATCATACAAAAGATATAAAAGGCAATCAAGAGCCAGCGCGGTAATTTGTGCGCATATGTTTTATTACAATCAAATTACATTGATATTTTAACTACGTGATAGACAAAATCACAACAAGCGTATGTTTCGGTCCTTTTTTTGAACTGTTGTGCCTCTAGCCGCTAAGGAAGAGGTCTTTAGGGATTTATACGCCCAAAGGATTAGGATCCACGCTCGAAATAAGACACTCCCGGACGTTAGGTATAAATTGATATATTTCACAGATTCTTGTACACTTTCACTTAGTCGCGATTATAATAGTCGGGCGCGATACGTACGGTATATCGATACTGTTGATATGAGCGAGCGAGTAGCGAGCGATGTTAATGAGCTATATTACTGAGCTATGTTACTGAGCTATGTTACTGAGCTATGTTACTGAGCTATGTTACTGAGCTATGTTACTGAGCTATGTTACTGAGCTATGTTACTGAGCTATGTTACTGAGCTATGTTACTGAGCTATGTTACTGAGCTATGTTACTGAGCTATGTTACTGAGCTATGTTACTGAGCTATGTTACTGAGCTATGTTACTGAGCTATGTTACTGAGCTATGTTACTGAGCTATGTTACTGAGCTATGTTACTGAGCTATGTTACTGAGCTATGTTACTGAGCTATGTTACTGAGCTATGTTACTGAGCTATGTTACTGAGCTATGTTACTGAGCTATGTTACTGAGCTATGTTACTGAGCTATGTTACTGAGCTATGTTACTGAGCTATGTTACTGAGCTATGTTACTGAGCTATGTTACTGAGCTATGTTACTGAGCTATGTTACTGAGCTATGTTACTGAGCTATGTTACTGAGCTATGTTACTGAGCTATGTTACTGAGCTATGTTACTGAGCTATGTTACTGAGCTATGTTACTGAGCTATGTTACTGAGCTATGTTACTGAGCTATGTTACTGAGCTATGTTACTGAGCTATGTTACTGAGCTATGTTACTGAGCTATGTTACTGAGCTATGTTACTGAGCTATGTTACTGAGCTATGTTACTGAGCTATGTTACTGAGCTATGTTACTGAGCTATGTTACTGAGCTATGTTACTGAGCTATGTTACTGAGCTATGTTACTGAGCTATGTTACTGAGCTATGTTACTGAGCTATGTTACTGAGCTATGTTACTGAGCTATGTTACTGAGCTATGTTACTGAGCTATGTTACTGAGCTATGTTACTGAGCTATGTTACTGAGCTAGCGTCGGTGCATCTCGCGCTCAATATATATTAATTAATTAGGTCGTTGATTAGGGAG